TGGAATGAAGTATTCTGCTCTCGTAGTCTAATACATAAGGATTAATATCAGTCAAAAATTTAATTTAATATCAACTTGTAGGAGGCATGTTGAATTTTATTAATTGAAAGTTTGAGACCCCTAGGTAAGAAAGGCAAGGAGAGAGAGAGAAAAAAAAGACTATTCTGCCCTAAAATTTCTAGCAACCTAGTAAGGATGATAAAATTTGTTTTGGAAAATAAATGATTCAATAAAACATATAATAAATGTCATAAAATAAGCACATGTGAGTGCCTAGGAAGTGTTATTTCTTTAATCTGGGAGATAAACAATGACTGTTTAGGAAAGAAGTGGCATTTGAATTGGGCCTTGAGGTTAAAGTGCATTCAAAACTGGGGACATGAATGTGAGTAGTGTTTCACCACAGAACACAAGTAACGACTTAAAAAACAAAATAATGTGGGGCCTCCATGAAAGAAAAGGTAGTACTTTTCAACTGTAGGGAATAGATGAGGAGGAAAATAAGGGTGAATCATTTTAGAATAGTAGAATTTCAAAAAGCACAAAAAAGCACTGCCCACAAATGAAGAGTCAGATGCCTCATGTGTCACTGGTAGAAATGAACAGCCACTCTAAAAAATAGATTGGAAGCTGCTGAGTTATACTACCCAGAAATTACACTCCTGGATATTTATCCTAGAGGAATTAACATTTATATGCACAGAAAAGCCTACAGGCAATTGATCATGATAGTAGTCAAAAGTTGAAAATAACCAAAATGTCCAACTGTGCCATGGCATCATTTTAAGTAACAGAAAAACAATGAATTATGCATATCTGTAACAACTTGGATGGATCTCAGAGACATTATGCTGAGTGAAATGAACCTACACATAGGTAACAGAGAATATTTCAATTTGCGTAACATTCTTAACATTACAAGGAGAGACTGGGGGTGGTAGTGGAGTGTGACTGTACAGAGGCAGCATGATCATAATAGTGATGGAAAATTTGATGACTTGAGGACAGGGCTAATTATACCAATCTATTAATGCAATAAAATGACACTGAGTATACACATGCATTGTATCAAAGTCAAATTCCTGATTTTGATTTTATACTACAATGATGCAATATTTAAGTATTAGAAAGTACTGGATAAAAAGTAAACAAGATGTTTTGTACTACCTTGCAAATTCCTGTGAATCTATAATTATTTCCACAGAAAAATGTTTTTAAAAAGTAGATTACAAAATTTTGCATACACTTACCATACAATCCAACAATCTACCTCCTAGGTATTTACCTAAGATAAATCAAAAGTTATCTTCATATAATCTGTAAAAGGATATTTACAGCAATAATATCTATAATTATCAAAACCTAGAAACTGTTCAAAATATTTCTGTTGACAAATGGATAAACAAACTTGCCGCTCAAAAATAAAAGGAAATGAGCTACTATACCTGTCACAAAAAGGATGAACCTCAAAACCATGATTCTGTAAGAAAGAAGCCATTATATACTTTATGATTTAATTCATATGACTTCTTCCAAACAACAAGTTTGAGAGGAGGGATCAACTGACTGATCTGGGCTGCAGACGTGTACGCAGAGACCTTCTGGGCTGACGCATGATTCCATGCGTGGGTTATGCTGCTGGCTACTTAGGTGACAATGCTGTTAAAGCTCATGTAACTGCGCACCCCAAATGGCAATTTTTACTTTTATAAAACTTATCTTAATAAACTTTATTTTAGAAAAACATATGTGATATCAAACTATTTTTAAAATAGTACATATTATGTATTAAGGGAGACAGAAGCAGATTTTTTTTTACATCTTAACATTTGTTATCTTTGACTGGTAGGTGGAATTACTTATAAATTACGTTTCTCTTCCTACTTTTCTTGTCTAGTAAGATTTCTGTATGAAGTAGGTATTATTTTGAAGAACATGAATGCTATTTTTAAGGAATGAATTAGATATATTTAGAGCCAAATAGAACATTGAAAGTCAATAAGCCATCTGCAAGCTGAAGAGCCACAGAAATTAGTAGCATGGCTCAGTCCAAGCAGCCAGAAGCCTCAGAGCCAAGAGACCAATGGTGCAAAAACTGGTCCAGGCCAAAAGTCCAAGGACCTCACCAAGTGCCAGTGTTGCAAGTTCCAGAGTTCAAAATCCAAAAAACTGGAATCTAATGTCAAAGGACACCAGACCACACTCATCTGGAAGGAAAAATCAGAGAGAGGCGAAGAGCTACCCCCTTTCTCTGCTTTCCCAATCCCTCTGGAACCTAGTCAATTGGATGATATTCACCCACATTAACAGTGGATCCCCCCTCAATTCACTGACCCATGCACTAATCTTCTCTGGAAGCCTCTTCACAGACACTTAGCCATAGCACCTTATCAGTTCTCCAGGGATCCCTCAGTACAGGCAAGCTGACACCCAAAATTAACCTTCACATCCCCTTTAATTTGCAGGTGAAACTACGATGGCTAAAATAAATATAGCGACGTTTTCTAATTATTTCACATTTTAAAATACATATACCCTCGGAACTGAATTTTCCTAAGACAGACACATGATTCTAGCACAAATGTCATGATGTATTTTGACTGGGGAAAGGGGTGATTTTCATCTTTCAAAAATTCTCACTTAATAATCCCACAAGAAAGGGAGCCTAGGCCTGGTCCTGCAGGTGGAATCCAGGCAGGGCCTGGACAGAGACTGGTCCTAAATATCCACTACATAAGATCACTGGCTTTTTGGAAATGTGCACTTTGCAAGCATTTTAATCTCAGGTGATTCATGATAACAGTACCACCCACTGAACAGGAATGTTTAGCAGATTGGGATGATGACATGAGAAAGCTAGAGTGACTATCATTACTGGTTAGAGTTCATGTCATTCATAATGAAGCCTATGTGAGAACCAGAAGGAAGTATAACTCAAGAGTTAAATGTTGAAATTTGGAGAAACACTACCTGTGTTTAAATACTGACTTCTTTGCTATGTGACCATGGACAATTTATCAAGAATCTCTATTTCAACTTGTCACCACTAAACTGGGAATTATAAGAGATTACTCCAAGTATTAAATAAGTTAATTCATTTAAAGTCTAGATGATGCCTGGTGCATGGGGAATACTCCAAGTTAGCTGATATTGGAAGTCTCCTCATGTTTTCTGTGGACTGTACTGGATTGGAGGTAACAATGTGGAAACCCACCCCTAGGACTCTTGAAGTACTGAGTATTTTATGGGGAAGGGCCATAAAACAGTGTCTAACCTTAGGAACACAAATTAATAGCCTACATAAGAGAGGAGTCATTTAATCATTAGTGCTCCTTTCCTTGGATAGCTTGTCACAATACAGGTGGTGAGGGCTTATAAGGAATTGGGTCACCTTCAGTGAACAACAGTCACACTTAACTGGATAAACCAACAGGTCATTTGAGCCATGAAAAAGTAACATCTTTTCAAATACGTCAGAAAAATCAAACAGTTCACCCCAGCACTTAAATGTTAAAACATTTCCCTTCTTTAGAAGAGAGGACATGTCTTATTCTGTAGCTGGAAGGGAAAAAATGTCTTTATATGTTATTATTGGTCCTTCTCATGTCTCTAAAATCACTAGCAAGGTCATGAATGTAGTAAAAATATTTGGAGTGGGATTAAGAAGTCTACATTTTAATTACAGCCTTCACTTTTAGCTGAAATTGAAACTGTGGCCACAGAATAAATTCCTAAATTACAATGAAGTGGGGCACATTGGAAATGGGCTAAAGATACAAAAAGAAGGTGGACAAATTAAACTGTACTTATCAAGTATATCAGCCCAGTTAATAAAGAAATTGTCTGCTGAGGCAAGAGTATCTGAAACACAGAAGTACTCCACATATACCGAATTAATTGATAATCTATTTGACCATTATACCATTAACATACATAGGGAACAACTACGAGAAAGAGTGGGAAAATCATGAAATGTGGAATCATAATACTGGATGCCTCAACTTGTCTACATGATTTCAGATATATTATTTACATTCCTGAGTCCAATTTCTCTTTTTTTTTTCAATTTCTCTTTTATACAATTTTATCACCTACATTATCAATTTTGTCATGCAGATGTAATAAATCAATACAAGTAGAAATACTTGATGAGCTCTAAGGTGCTAAGTAAAAGATAGAAACTGTTCCTGCTATTCCAAGGCCTGGTTTGGAACAAATTGACATTGTGTGTGTCGAGCAGCCCCAATGCCTATCAGTGTGCTCATAAGGCTTCCTTGTTACATCTCAAAATCAGAAAAGAAGGTGAGAGGGGATGAGAAGGGAAGAAAGAGCTGACAGTTTTCTTTTGCAGTTAGATTAACTAACATATGCAATTTTAATTTAAAGCGAGTTCTTAAAAAATGAGATTTGTTGTCATTTGGGTGTGGTTGCATAACATGCCACTGCTGTGAGGGTGGTTGGCAGCAGCACCAGGCCAAATCTACTGTGGGTGTGGAGACATTCAGAGCACAAGTATCACCCCACCCTGCTGTCCTGTTGCCTAATTAGCTGGTGTGTGGAAAACAAGCTTCAGGAGTCAGGAGCAATCTTTCATTTACAGTCATGATGCAATGGAGAAATGGCAGCCTACTTACAGCGACAGCGGAAATGCTGACTATCCCCTGACATCTGCTTTCTGGAAAGAGCGACGAGTATAGAAACCTGTGTTCTACACTTCCCAGGGAAGCTCATCCTCCACTGCTTCCCCATTTACCTTACATTTATGAGCTCAACAAAACGAGCTGGAATCATCAAAACTTCTTCTATTTCCAGGAAAAAGAAATGTCATTATTTTAGAACAAAATAGCTGCCTTTGCTAGATCATCTTTTCAAGCTAAGTGGTAAAAATAAGCCTTGTGAGACAAAAAAGAAAGAATGAGGGAATTTCTCTTAAGCTAAGCTCAGACACAAAAATATATTCCACTCAGTCTTCTTGAGTATATAATCTTCAGCATACTCACCTCTCAAAGAACCAGGTACAGATTCGTGAACAGCATTCGGAGAGCTTGTATGGGCCTCAGTATATTCTAGTCTATTTAAATCCTTTCATTTTGTAATCAGCCCTGAAAGGAGGGCATCATTTATTTGAGGACAAATAACTAGAAAGTGGCAGAGCTGGAATGTATTCCATTTCTCCAGACTCCCAGGCCTGTGTGGTTTTCCCAGACCACAACTTCCTTTTCAGTCACAGACTGGACTTGTGTCTGGTTCAGAGATTATTTCTCTTTCATCACTCTGCACTCCAGGGAAAAAAACTCAGATTCATCTTCTATGTATATGTAGTATTTTATATAGAGTTTAACCTCTAATTTACATGTACATTTTTATGAACTTTACTCCACTGGCCTTCAATTAGAACCTGTTTTGCCCCTCAGGGGACATTTGGCAATGTCTGGAGACACATTTTTTTTTGGTGGTTACGATTAGAGAGACACTACATCTTCTGGTGAACAGTGACCAAGATGTTGGCAAACATCCTACAGTACATAAGATACCCACTCCGACAGCAAGTAACCCAGTTCAAAATGCCCTGAAAAGATTCAGAAACCCTGACCTATGTTTTTTAGCCAGGAATAGCTTCAAAGGTTCAGAAATTATCTTGGTGATTAGTCAATTCTGCAACAAAGAATTCTGCTATGTTACTCAAAGAGCTCTTACCAGAAAAGTCAAGTAATACTTTTGAATGATGGTCTAGATTGGCTGTTTCACCACTCATTAGGGTACATAGATCCAATAGTTCCACTTCAAAAAAAAATTTCTATAAAATACCACAGTCAAGGCTGAGCCAGTACACTCCAACTCTAAGCTGAGACTCCCTCCACTCCTAAGTAACTATATGAGCAATTTACTTTTTGGGTTTTTTTTTCTTTCGTAATGGGAATTGAACCCAGGACTTTCCCACTTAGCTACATCCTGAGTTCTTTTATTTTTACTTATTTTTAATTTTGAGATGGAAGACTGAGCTCAAAGCTGCAAACCTCCTGCCTCAACTTCCCAGAGTGCTGGGATTACAGATATGTGCCATCATTCATGGCAAGTTAATTATTTTTAATTTAATATCCACCTTCTCATATATCCAATTTACATCTTTTCTCTCTCTTAATATCCCAATTTTGATTTACATGTATGGTTCACCAACTCAATTCCTTTCACAATTCTGGTCACAGACTGAACTGGATGAGAATTGAATCAAATTTCCCCGTAAGGTCAACATTGAACCTGACCATTGAATTTGATTTGGTTCTCATCCAACTGAGTTTGTGACCAGAATCGTGGAAAGAATCAAATTTGTGAACCAAGGCACCACTGTAATCTCTTCTCCAAAATATTTAACAAACACCTTTCTTCACCATGTAACACATGCACACACACACACACACACACTCCCCACAAAGACTTATTTAAATATCCCAACAAAAGCTAAAAGCTTCAGAGAACTTTAGAATGGACCATCTGTGGCTTTTAAAAGGTAATAAAAAGGTCTGGGGATTTAGCTCAGTGGCACCATGCCTGCCTCACAAGTGCAAGGTCCTGGTTTGATCCCTGGTACAAAAAATAAATAAAAGCTTAAAAAAAATAAAAAGAAAAGGGTTGACAGAATAGCTGTAAGTTCCTACACATTTCCTTTTGTGAAAAGGGATTGATGTCAGCTCTTCAACTAGCAGTGACCTCACTGCCCATCCTCTGCCACTCTCAAATCTGAGAGTGCTGAGGCTGGACGTGGTGGCACACACATGTAATCCTAGTCCTCAGAAAGCTGAGGCAGGAGGACTGCAGGGAGTTTGAGGCCAGCCTGGGCTACTTAGCGAGACTCTGTTTCGGGGGGGGAAAAAAAGAGCTTAACAAATCTGAAAATGTTGCCTGATCTACATTCCTGCAACATTCACAAGCAATGAAGCAATGAACATGATTTTTAAAATTACATAGACCAGGGTATGAATCCAGGATCTACTACTTATTAGCCATGAAAATATCAGCAAATTATTTAAAATTTCTGAGTCTTGATTGAAGGTAAATTATTTAGTTAATTGTATTAATTAGACAAGGCTTGAACATTCTTAGGTTTTAGTACTGCTCAATGAATAGTACTTATTATTAGTTCCTTTAAAAAAAACCTAATCTTGCTTTGTGACTTCTACCTACAAAAATCCTTCAGTGACTCCTCCCAGCCAAGATCTTCCCTTCCCCCTCTGCTTTTCAAAGTCCACAAAATTTTGGTGACAGCTTTCCTATGGGAATATATCTAAGCCTACATAAGTCCTTTGTCCTTGGCATCACCCTGGCTTACAACCATATTCTCTTATTCCTCTATTTGTCACTTTGGGAAGAGAAGAATTTTGAAACTAGACAAAGATGAATGGTGTTTAGTTTAGGTTCTGCCACTCTATATTTATTGTATCTTAGAGATTTCATTTAACCTAGTTCCATAAGAAAGTGATCTTAATACAAGGATCGTTGCTAATATGTAAGGTATTCATAACTAAGGGCCTGGCAGAGAGTAAGCTTTTACTAGCTAGAAGTGATGTAATAGCATAATGGTTGTCTTGATCACCTGAGCAGAGATACAGAGCAGATAGTTTATCTCTTTAAAAACTTCAACCAAGTCCCAAGCAAATCATCATTGGCTTAGTATTTTTTCATAAGTACCAGAGTATTTGATAGCTGAGCCACCTATATACTATGTTATCCTATTTCTTTACCTAAATAAAAATTTACTAATCAGACATTTTCTAAATTGTCAGAATATTATAATGGCTAGAAGCAAAGATTCTAGAGGTAAACTGTCTGATTTTGTATCTGCCACTAACTATAAAGTTTGGCAAGTTATTTCACCTCTCTTTGCCTCTGATTACTCATAAAATTCTAGAGTTTCTGTATCATAACTAAATATTAAAACAAAATAAATCAATACATATACAAGCTGCTTAGAATAGTTTCTGGGAATCTTAAGCTTTCAATAAGTATTACTATCATTTCTATTTTATTGTTTGTTCTCTGAGATAATCCCCTTTTTCAACTCCCTCTCTAAACTTCTGGAATTAATTAGTCAAAGAGAGAGTGTCTAGTACTCAATAACTGGAAATAGGATTCGATTTGGACTTACAAGACTTAAAAAGAAAGTCATGATAATGGTAAGAGAGTGTGTAGAAAACAGGATTGCTCACACTGTGGTGGGATTGTGATTGGTTCAGCCATTCTGAAAAGCAATATGGTTCTGAAGAGCAATATGGTAGGTCAATAACATTTTTATTTCATTTTTTCACTAATCTTTGTTTCAATCAGTATATAGTAATTACAGGATAGAGGGAAAGCATTCCAAAATATGTATATAACATGTAATGATAAGATCAGGGTAATTAGCATATCTGCCACCTCAGACATATACCATTTTTTTGTTGGGAATATTCAAAATCATCTCTATTAACTATTTTGAAATAGTCAATCAATTGTAGTCAACTACAGTTATTACACTGTACTATAAAGCATTAGAAGTTTTTCCTCCAAACCCATCTGCACCCCTGTGCCCATTAACTATACTCTCTCTACCTCCCTCTCTTCTATCCTCCCTGGGCTCCGGTCACCATTCTTACATCCTCTCCTCCTTTGTGATCAGCTTTAGCAGCCCCATATGACTAATGACGAAGATAAATGTATTTGTCTTCCTCTTCCTGACTTAGTTCACTTAACATAATGTCCTCTAGCTCCATCAATCTTGTTGCAAATGACAGCTTTATTCTTTTGTGGATAAATAATACCCCAGGCATATATTTATCACATTTTCTTTATGTCTTCATCCAACGATGGGCACCTAGGTTGATTTCATGTCTCAGCTTTTGAGAATAGTGGTGTAATAAATACACAAGTGCAGATGTCTCTTGGATATATTAATTTCATTTTCTTTGGATATACACCCTGCTGTGGGATTGCTGGATCATATGATAGTTCTGTTTCTAGTTTGTTGGAGAAACTTTATACTATTTCTTATAATGACTGTATTAATCTACATTCCTTTTTTTTTTGGGTACCAGGGTTTGAACTTGGGTCCTTGCACTCACGAGGCAGGCAGCAGAACCACTGAGCCAAATCCCCGACCGCTTAATCTACATTCTTGCCAACAGTTGATAAAAGTTCCCCTTTCTCTTAATTGCCAATGTTTGGGGAGTTTGTGTGTTTTATTTTGAAAATTGCTATTCTAAAAAAAGTAAGATGATATTTCACTATCATTTTTATTTGTCTTTCCCTGGTGATTAGTGGTATTGAACTGGTTTTCAGTTACTTGTTGATCATTTATACATCCTATTTTAATAAATGTCTATTCAAGCCATTCTCCCTTAACAAATACTTTAAATGAGTAGATCTTCAATCCTGTTACTTAACTTCTTTAAGCTAATGAAATAATAAGAAAAATGTGCTATCTTAAACATACATGTCAAATAATCATAGCACTCTCCATAAAAAAAATGCAAAACAAAAGGAAATGGTGAAATTACCTATATAATATCCATAATGCAGGTATTTAGACTTGAGGCCATCAACTCTCCAATCCTAACCTCCTAACACTATAGCCCATATTACAAAGTATCTCCAGGTTTAATTCAACTTCCCAAGCCATTAGCCTAGGATTCTTATCAGACTCCTTTCTAATTTTTCAGTAAGTCCTATCAATTCTTCCTCTACAACATGCTGTAAGTCTCTTCAGTGCTACAAACTGAAGCAAGCTACCATCTTCTCTCATGGACAGCTGCTCCTCTGGCTTCCTCATCAACTTCCTTGCCACCATTTGGACATCTGTCTTACAATAGCCTAGGTTTTCAAAATATAAATCAGAGTGATGAAGCTACATTGTTAGAGCCATCTGATTATTTTCCAATCTCACAAGTGGAATGAGACTCAAGACTCCCAGCTGCAATCTACAAAGTACAAATGAATCTATTCAATGCCAACCTGAACTATTGTTTGTGCCCTGTTTATTATATTCCAGTTCCAGCAGCCTCCTCTCTGATCTTTCAAGGTGCTGAGCTCATTTCTACTTCTGCATCT